CGGCGGGAAGGTGAGCACGGGGCCGGAGATCGACGGGCAGGGCGCGCGCAGGGGTCGGCAGAACGGGCGCGGGGGCCAGTAGCTGCGGGCGCCGGGCCGGCGAGGACGGGCGCAGGGGCCAGGTGGGACGGGCGCGGGGCTGGGTAGGATGGGCCTGGGACGGGCGCGGGGCCGGTTAGGAGGGGCCTGGGACGGGCGCGGGGCCGGCTAGGACGGCGCGCGGGGGCCTGTAGGACGGGCGCGGGGGCCAGCTAGGACGGGCGCGGGGGCCACTAGGACGGGCGCGGGGGCCGGTAGGACGGGCGCGGGGGCCGCTAGGACGGGCGCGGGGGCCACTGGGACGGGCGCGGGGCCGACTAGGACGGGCGCGAGAGCCGTGAGGACGGGCGCGGGGCCAGCTAGGACGGGCGCGGGGCCAGCTAGGACGGGCGCGGGGCCAGCTAGGACGGGCGAGGGGGCCGTGAGGACGGGCGCGGGCCAGCTAGGACGGGCACGAGGGGGGCCGTTAGGACGGGCGCGGGGGCCGACTAGGACGGGCGCGGGGCCGGTAAGGATGGGCGCGGGGGCCACTAGGACGGGCGCGGGGCCAGCTAGGACGGGCGCGAGGGCCGTAAGGACGGGGGGTGGGGGCAGCTAGGACGAGCGCGGCGGGAGCAGCTAGGACGAGTGCGCGGGCGCGGCTAGGACGGGCGCGCGGGCGCGGCCAGGACGGGCGCGGGGGAGGCTAGGGCATAGGGCGGAAGCATGGGCGGGCGGCGGGACCTACCTACTGCTGATACCATCTTAAAACTGAGTAATGAATGAGTAGAGAACATGGGTACAAGCATTCATATCTAAGGGTTGTACTCTCTAAGAGGTGACCCTATACAGTCTAAACAAACACTAGATATACTAATGTTCGACAGTATTGGCCAAGAGCTGTAGGAAAGCGGGCACCTCGGCACAGGGACACCCGTAGGTCTCCACGGCGAAAAGGAAGAAACCGACGTACGGCGCGCGGTTGCGATAGTGGTCTATCTTCTTGTCTGCTTGCTCCCGCGCCATGTACCCCCTCCCTTTCTGTGCTACGGGAGGCTGCTGATCGGCGGTGACAGTGACATCGCAGATCCATACAGCACCCGAGTCTCGGTCCCGGATTGCCAGGTCGGCAGTCTGGTCGCTAATTGGGGTATAGGTGGCAGTTTCTTTCTCGACGATGAACTGTGCATCTCGCGCCATGCAGCACTCGTCCCGAAGAGCATTATGCGTGTCAGTGCGCCCGTGCCCCGTCCCACAGCGGAGCAGGTCATGTCGCCGACCTGGCAGCACACTTGTCGGGGTTGTGCATCAGGCCAAGGTCGGCGAGGGCGGCTGCGAAGTGTATAAAGGGGGAGGTGCAATCGGCAGGGTCGCCCAGGAAGGAGATGTCATCGGCGTAGGCAAGGCAGAGGACGAAGGGGTGAGCGTCCGCCGTGGCCCGGAGGGCGGGGTGGATAGCTGCGGCGAAGAGCAGCGGTCCGAGCGGGTCCCCCTGGCGGACTCCACGCTCACTGATGAGCGGAGGGCTATCAAACCCCGCGTCAAGCAGTAAACGCGATGGTTGGCCATAGGAGAACCTGACGAATGGCAGGAGGTGCTTGAGAGATGTGCCGGCAAGTCCTACCACAATCGCCCTGCGATCGACGCTATTGAACGCGTTGGCGAGATCAACCTGGACGATCAGCGACTCTGGGAACTCCGAGGCAAAAGCGCGCGAGCCGTGAATAATGGCCTCACCCCCTCCCGTGACGGCCATACCGAATTGGAGGGGGAGGAAGTGGTTGCGGGCAGTTTCGGCCGAGGAGTAGAGAGAGTTGCTTTGCCCGCCAGGCGGTAGATAGGTTCACCGATGGCGATGGGACGTGTGCCTCCTCCGGGCTTAGTCAGGGCGAGGAGGCGGGAGGTGGTGAGGAGGCCTGCTACGACCTCTGATAGATCACCCTTGAGCATGTGGTTAATGAGTGAGTGAAGTGCGGTGGCGACGGCGGGGTTGGCGAGGGCTGCGTCGCGAAGGTGCTCGAACGTCGTGCGCGACGGTCCTGCGCCAACACCGTTTTCGCAGGTACGTAGTAACCGGTCGAAATTTTCGTGAGGGAGTTGGACCGCAGCGCCAATGCCATCCTCCGAGGGCCACGCGATTGACGCGGTCAACGCTGGTGGGTGTTTTGATTTCAAAGCTTCGAGGGTCTCGGTAGTTGACTCCTGGACAGGTGACGACTCCAGCGCCAGCAGGGCACGCCGGAGGCTGCCACGTCGCGCGAGACCTTCCGCCCGAGATATCTTACCGACGGTATTTGGGGTGTGACGTGGCGGCGGGGGGTTGTGGATCGAACCGATTGATGCTCGGTAGTGTTCCTGCCATTCGCCTCGCATGAACTGTTTCAATCGATCCTCCACGTGGGTCCAGTTTGGTCGTTTTGGGGAAACGAGGCGAAGTGTCAGTCTTGGTGTCATGAGGAAGAGGCGCCAACCGGCCAGCGAGGACCGGTTTTCGCCGAGATGCAACAGTGGCGTCAGTAACGCGAGAGCAAAAAGGGGGCGAAGTCTGGGGGGCAGCTTGTGGGATAACGGGGGCTGGCGACTGTCGCAAATGAGGGACATGTCCCAGCTGGCTACCTCGGCGAATCTGGATTCGTCGAATGCAAGCTCTTGTGGCGAGTAGGTTCGCCGTGATTGGCTAAGCGTCTCCAGCACCCCACGGATTTTCCGCCCTGGGCGACCTGGGACCCCTATTCCCGCGCGTTCGTCTCTCAGATCTCCCTGTCCGCTCCCCGGCTTCAACTGCCTCCTCGGAGCCTTCGGTAGAGGAATCAGACTGTCTGTCAGGACTATAAGTCCGGTCCCTTTGTTCTTCCTCCTCAGTTCCTCCCCTCCTCTCCTGCACCCTTGAAGCCCGTGCAGCTGCCTGCTGGTAGCCATTGGCCGGTCCACCGTCACTCTGCCGTCTCCTGCGCCCGCGTCCTCGTCCTCCCGCTCCGTTCGCCCTCTGCCCGCATCTACGAGCCGCAGGAGACCTCCCCGCCGAGTCTCTCACGGCCCGGCTCATCGCCCTTGTTCTGGGTGTCGAGTTGCGCGAGTCCACCGGCGCCGCGGCCGCGCCCGTCACAAGCGGCGATGGCGCAGTCGCGAGCCACCGCCCCAGATCTCCATCCGCGTCATGAGCGATCGGCCGGTCCTGAGAGCTCGGGGGAGTGCGCCCCCCCCCCCCCCCCCAAGGTCCGGCGAAGCTGCCGGCCGATCACTCAGATATGCGGTGGGAGCGCGGGCTCCTCGCCACTGCGGAGAACCACCCTGCGTCGCCGGACCAGGCGGGCGCCGGGGCAGGGAGTCGCACGTCAACCCCACCGTGTCGCGGGGACCGCTCGAAGACTCCGCCGCCCAGCCGCAGCTCCGCTCCTCTGGCGTGGGCGCTGCCGCGACGGGCTGTGTCACGTCCTCTGTTGCCCGTCCCTCAGCCGCAACCGTCGCGGAGGGGGGAACCCCTCCGGCAGCATGCTGGTCGTCATGAGTCGCCTCACCGCCATCTTCAAGCGACGGCGCCCCCCCCACAGCAGCCTCGCCACGTGGCTGGGCGTGACCGCGTCGGGCAACGGCGGGGTTGGCGCAGTGGGAAGGCTCATCGCAGGGCGAACGGTCGCGAGGCCGCCTCCCTGCAGCAGACCCTCGCCCGGAATACAGCCACGCTCGAGAGCTTGTGCGCCCACATGCAGGGGACTCCGGCGATGCATCACCCTGCTGCTGCCCCCCCTGCCGACGCACACGTCCTGCCTCCCCCTGCGGCGGTGGCGGATTTTGTGCCATGTCCGACAGTGCACCCCCAACCTCCCTCGGTCGCCGCGCCGAGTTTTCTTCCCCGTCCTCCGTCCCTTGCTGTGCCGAATCCCCGTTCCGCATACCAGCAGCAGGTCCCGCCTGGGCGCCCGCCCTCTCTGTCAGAGCAAACCTTGCCGTCGTGGCAACAGCCTCCACTCTTGTCGTCCGCCCCGCAGTGGCTGTAGCCACAGCAGCCGCCGCTTCCGCCGTTGTTCTCTGGCCCGGGTGCCTATGGTCCGTTCGTCCCCCCCCGTCAACGGCTCCCATCGCCGACTGGAGTTGAGGCGGGGGCAACGTCAGCGGAGATGGGGGGGGCGGAGTCCTTGGGCGAGGGCTCCCCCCCTGGCCACGGCTCCGTGGGCCAGCGCCGGACTGGCGGGGTGCGGATTCCGCCCAGGGTTCGGGTCGACTGTCTTCGGCGCGTGGAGCGGATGGTGGCGATTCCAGCTGCCACGCTCCGCCGCTTTGGGCACTTGGGGACGGCGACAGGGTAGGTGGCGGGGATGCTCGCCGCAACGCACTCTGCACTGCGTGGCACAGTGAATCCGTGGACGCTTCCCCACATTTCCCTCCAGAACTGCTCGGACGCATCAGATGATCTGATGGTTCTCTTTGGGCGTGCGCTGCCAGCGCCCGCCCCGGGAAGTGGCATGGACCGTGGGGTTGTCGGAGCGATGAAAGCAGTTGCGGGGAGCTTAAATTCGGTGTCAAGCGTAGACCTTGCTGGCGCCTGCGCGTTAGTGCTGCAATGCGTGGAGCGACTTCTGGCAGGTTTGCTGGCGATGGCGGGGGAGGAGGACGACGGGTGATTGGCACCCGCCGCCTATATGTGCGTGGAGGCGACCCTCTGTCGAGCGTGAGGGTTCCAGTGAGCTGGATCAGAGTTTCCATTGTGAGGGATTGTTCGAGGTCTTTGCAGGGCCTGTCCTAGAGCTGGAGGGGCTGCATTGCGTATGCCTTGTACTCGCTGCTTTATATTGATTGCTGTGCTTGCCACCCCCTCACGCGCGGCCGAAGGCCGCCGACGCGAGCCGACACCAAGGGTAGGAGGAAGAATAACTGGAAACTAAACAAGGAGAATGAGGCAGGGAGAGGCCTTAAGTAGAGAGGGAAGGACTCAGGCTCTCTCTCTCTCTCTCCCTCTCTCTCTCGCACCGCGACTTGCTGCCATACCCTTTTAACATTCCCCAGAACCTTCCCCTATGCAAACATGCAGCAGTTTTCACTTCAACAAATGCCAAAGCATAGTACAGATGTTGGTAAATCGGAACCACTGTTGGTTAAGCGCGAAACACTGTTAATGGTCACATCATGCCGTTACGAGGATCACTTGTTAAGTCGTTAAAAGTCTCGACTCTTTTTCGGGCAGCGGCAAAGACGGCATAGTCCACTATGGCCTGAAGAGCACACATTTTATTAGGGAAGAACATTTGACAGGTGGAAATGGAAAGGCAATAGGAGGAACAGTGAGGGTTGCTGGTCAAAGCGAGCGGCCAATCAGTGTCCAAGAGAGCACAAAATGTAAAACATTGAGAGTTAGCGGCTTTGAGGAGGTTGAATGTAGATGCGGTAATTGTGCCACAGCATGAGAAATCCCCTCGTACACCTGCTCTTGTCACCAACCATGCACAGAGCTGACTTGAACTTACCAGCCACCGTGCCCTTACCAGCCACCGTGCCCTTACCAGCCACCATGCCCTTACCAGCCACCGTGCCCTTACCAGCCACCATGCCCTTACCAGCCACCGTGCCCTTACCAGCCACCGTGCCCTTACCAGCCACCGTGCCCTTCCTCCTTATAAGCATCGAACGTCACCTTCCCCTGCCCCTCCATAACAGCCTGTTGCACCCTCCACCAGTCGTTGCCTTCCCCCCTCAGATGCGCTAAGTGCCCCAGCATTTGCACCCGGTACAGCCCCCTCCCTCTTGGCTCAAATCTCATGTTCTTACCTCCATATAAGCATCAAACGCCACCTCCCCATGCCCCTCCATGAGCGCCAGTTGCGCCCTCCACCATTCGCCACCCTCCCCCCACAGGTGCGCGAAGTCCCCCAGCATGTGCACCCGGTACGGCCCCCCCTGAATCGCTCGCAGCGGGTCGAAAAAGGAGCTGCTCTCATCACTTGCGATGTAGAGCGCTCTGCCGGGGGGGATGAGGCTGGGGAGCTTCTGTGCCAGCCTGAGGAGGGAAGCCGGGAGGGAAGGGGACGGGCGGGTGGGGCAACGAGAAGGGAGGATGCGGGGAATTTTTGAGTCGACTCAAAAATCACCTGAGGACACGGGGAGCGAACCAGGCCAACGAGATGACTTTTGAGTCGACTCAAGGGTCACCAGGCCGATGATGAGAAGAGAAGGGCGGGTGGCGCAACGAGGAGGAAGGACAGGGGAGCGAGGCAGGCCAGCACTGTGTGGAGAGTGATGAGGTGTGAGATACGGCAGTTAAGCGTTTCTAGAACCTTACACTTGAACACAGGTGGTTCCAGCAGCTTGCACTAACAGAAGTTTTTTAAGCAGCTTACACTTGAACAGAAGTGTCCCGTGCGAGGTTGGGCCAGCGGCTGGCATCCCTCGCCTTATCCCCTCGCCGCACATGCACGGCGTCATAGTCCCCTCCATCCATACTCGCTATAATCTGCTCCGCTACCGCCCACAGCTCCGGCCGATACTCTATGGCCGACCAATCAGAGGACACCACGCCTCGGCTCCTGGGGTCTTCACAGTCCGCGAATCCCGTGGCTGCCTGACGAACCAGCAGCGCAGGCTCGGATAGCCGAACCAGATCTTCCAAACCTGCGGATTCCGGAGCTATTGCTGCTGTTAGCCGTTCAGCTTGCCCCTCCTCCTGCCCCCCTCTCCCTTCCTTTTCCGTCCGCTCGCCCTTCTCCCCTTTCTCCCCCTCCATCTGCTCCCCTTGCTCCCCTTCCCCCCACTGCGCCCCTCCCCCGTTCCGGACCCCCCACCGCGCGCTCTCCGCCACGAACCTCTGCAGGGGAACCACGGGCGCAAGGCTCACCCGCGCCAGGTCGAAATACGCGAACAGGGGCTGCACGTGCCCGCGCGTGCCGTCCACGCTGTGCTCGTGCGCCGTGATCGTGGACGCGTCCACGGCCACGCTCGTGCCGTCCACGCTCCGCTCAGGTGCAGCGAACCTGGACGCGTCCACTGCCATGTGCTCAGGCGCCATACACTTGGACGCGTCCACGAGCAGCGTGCGGTTGAGCGCGCGCGCGACGGCCAGCTGGCACGCGAGGCTGGTGCGCGTGTGCGCCACGCCCGCGCACACCTCGTTGCGCAGCGAAAAGAACAGATACCGGCGGCGGCGGCGGGGGCGGGAGGCGGGAACCCCACTAAATTCATCATTATCACTCTCGCTGCTGTCACTCCCATTGTTGCCACTCTCGTTGTTGTCACGGCCATCCAAGTCGCCTTCCGGTACTCCGAGTACCGGTACTCCGCCTTCCAGAACTTCGCTGTTGTTGGCCTCGAGTCGAGGCCATGGTGTTGACTCTCCTGGCTCGAGGAGCAGAGTCGCCCCTCTGTACTCCGGCCATGACGCAGAGTCGCCCCACCAGGTGGCCGGCAGGGAGGCCCAGGGAATGCCGCTGCGCTGCTCGACTGAGTGCAGCTCGCGCTGTATTTCGGGGGAGTCAACGAATAGAGGAGACCCTATGTACTCGTTAGTAACAGCGGATTCGACACTAACATGATCGCTTGACATAGAGTCGACTGTTGAGCTTACGACCATGCCGAGCACAACGCCAGACTCCTCCTCCTCCTCCTCCTCCTGCTGCTGCTGCTGCTGCTGCTGCTGCTGCTGCTCCCCCTGCCCCAAGTCTCCCCCTCCTTCCAAAACTGCCCTGCTCTCCCCACTTCCGCTCTCCTCTATACTCAGCAACTGTCTGACCCGCTGCTGCCCGACAACGTCGGGCACCTCGAAAAAACCTGACGTGGCGTCAGACAACTGGACCGCCGGCCTCATCTGCTGGCGTCGGAACGCTGCCCGCGCTTCCTCAAAAACGTCTTCGAAAAACTGTTGCTCGGAGTGCAGGTACGGGAGGACTGTACCGAAAGTGACTAATACTAGGATGATTAAAACGATGAAGGAGGTGTAGCCCCCGGGGGAGCCTCCTGCTAGTGCGCGGGGAAGCCTTTTCAGTGTTCGCAAGCGGAACAGCGGCGGAACGGCGGGAGCGGAGGCGGCGGAGAACATCCACGCGCGGAACCCCTTTGCGCCAGAATTCCTCTCCCGCCCCCGTTGCGCATTACGATTAGGCGAAGCCTTTTCACGATGCGCAGGTGGCGAAGCAAACAGTCGCGAAGGAGTGACTGACGGCGAGGAACTTGCTGGCGAAATGGGCGAAGAATGGGTTACTCGCGAAAGCGACTGGTATTTTCTTCCCGGCGACGGCGACGGGAAAACGCGCACCGCAACCTCGTCTCCCGCCCACCTACCCCCGCCGCTGGCTACGGTACCGCCGCCTACTGTGCTGCCGCCGTTTCCCCTAGCGTCCGCCATTTCTAACGGACTATTCGCGGGAGCGTGCCCGTAACAATCTCAACTCGCTTCCAGGCCAGGGGTCGTTCAAGGGAGAAATATTTTGTCAAAACCAAACGAACTCCTACTAGTAGCTCGATATTAAGGCGCCTCGCGAAACGAAACCTCCTAACTATCTCGAAATGCTGAGTGCAGCTGAACACCGGAGGAAATGGTCCAGCAGAAGGTCAGACGACGGGAGGTAGCGGACTCGGAACGATGGTGAAACTCTTCGAACTCAAGTGCTCCACAGCAAATTCTCCTGCGCAAAACATACAACACTAGGATGGAGGATGGGGTTCGATCACCCTAAACTTCCACCACACTGTACCACGCGAAATGTAAACTGGAAACTATCAGAACCGTCATGAACATTACTGTACCATTCTGACCGTTCGATCTTTCAGAAGTTCGGAAGTGTATGTTCCAAGCCCTAAAAAAGGAGGGAACCTTCGGGTCGCGTCAGATTCAAACTGGGTTTCTAGTCGCACTTTTCGAATGGTGATTGGCTTTGGAAATTGGACGCAGTGTCAGCAGCAGGCTGGCAGGTGGGAAACCCTTGACCATGTCAGACTCCCTAGCTGTGAGAAAACGTCGATACATGCTTCAGCGTTTTCCGATTCTTTCCGCGAGATGCAATGATATTGACACTCATACTGACCCAACTATAGTTATGACATAGAGTGTTATGAAATAGAAAGTGTCAATGTACTATAACGTGAGAATACAAGGTCTCTATTGCAATGAAGGCACGAGTTTATATAGGATTTGGCATACTAGGGCGATAACCTCGGAACGTGGGTATCTTCGGCAAGGTGGCGACAGTGCCGGACGTGACTCGGAAGAGGGTTGGGCCCGATAAACGAGGCCGAACGTGATGAGCCGAGGAGTTCGGGTGTACGCGCCAGCGTACGACTCAGTAAGGAATGGAAATTCCTTACACTACCCCCCCCCCTCCAAAACGAGACCGCGGGCATGGGAAACATTCCGACCAGGGCTGACGTTTCAAAAAAAGGCACTCTGAGCCAACCCCCCCCCAAAAAAAAATAGTATGAAGGGCCTTCAGCCGAAATTTTTGTAGTCTGAAATGTCAGGGTCCAGAACTCAGCGAGTCTGATATTTTCAGGGTCCAGGACGTACAACCAGAGTCACACACGGGAGACACCCCCACAGCGAGAAACTTCCCTCCCTCCTACACCTCCCAAAAATTCGGCTAAGTCCCTTGCAGCCATAAAAAATCCTCCCACAGCCCGCGCCCCCCCCAACCAGCAACCTTGTCATACCCTCGTTTTGCGTAGTTGTTAAATGTGGGAAACGGGGAAGTCATTCCTAAAAACCGAGGGGGTAAAATCGCACTGCCACGGAAAACGAAACTGAGGAGAGGGGGAATCGAAACTGACGGGGAAATGGGGAGGGAATCAAAATGGAGGGGAGGGGGGAAGCGAAACGAAGGGGAGGGGGGGGAAGAGGGGGGGCGGTCGAAACGGAGAGGATGGGGGAAGCGAAACGGAGAGGAAGGGGGAAGTGATTGAAACAGAGGGGAGGGGGGGGAATCGAAACGGCAGGGAGGGGGGAAGCTGGGGAATAGGACGGTGGGAGAAATTTCGCGCCCTTGCAGCGCCCCGGTGGGGAAATCTTGGACGTTAATCACAACATAACATCGAACGATTGATATATGTCGAAACGATCGCAAACGATCGTGACCGTTACATTTTGGTAGACTTTCAGTTGACCAAACGGGCAACTGACGAGAATTTCCCTATGTTAAAAATGCGGAATTTACTCTCATTCCAATGCAGTTAAAAAAAAATGTAAAAGTCTCATTCAAAACTTCTGGGTTGTTCCAGGTGTTAGGGAGGACTGTATCTGACAACATGACTTAGTCGAAATTTAGGGTGGGTTGTGGGGTGTGTGGGGGATGTCTCTAGTGTTCCGGGACTTCGCCGGGATTTTAGATGGGTTGTGGGGTGTGGGGTGGGGGTTGTCTCTAGGGTTCGGGGACTTGGCCAAAAAAATTTAGGGGTTGTGGGGTGTGTGGGGCATGTCTCTAGCGATTGGGGACTTCACCAAATTTTCCGAAGGTTGGTACTATACAGGTAATGAGTCAGGGTCTGTACGCGCTGTGCTCTGAAAACTCAGTACTGGGTTAGCGACAACTCTGATTTTCTCAGGATCCCTAGAATCGTACTCTGAAGGGATCAGGATTGGGAAAATGCCTTATCTGGAAATTCAGGTTTGGCCAAAAAACAGGTCTGAGATTTCAGACTAATCAGAGTAAATAGTCTGATAAAGTCAGCCCTGATTCCGACGATGATAATACGCTGTTAGAATCGGATGTGATTCTAAGTCAGCGAGGGGCACCCAGCTGTCGTCTTCGGACGTGCGATCGCGCCAGCGGACCAGAAAATCAACCATCCGACAGTTCAGCTGCGTCATGACTCGATGGCCGAGAATTTTCAAAGGCTCGGTCGTCGGTTTCTGCAGAGGCGTCAGTTGCGGTACTCCGCGTTGGCATGCCAATTCGGATGAACTGGGAATATAGGGCCACAAGAGGCTGACGTGGAAAGCTGGGTGGTGACGCCATTCTGCCGGGAGTCGAAGGTGAGCAGTGACAGGTGTCACCATATTTGTCCTTGAAAGGGTCCGCAGAATCTGGGGCGGAGTTTGCTCGGGATCGACAGCCGCAAATTGCGAGTGTCGAGAAGGAATAGATCTCCCACTTTGTAAGTGACGTCACGTCGATGGCGATCGGCTTGTCGGCTTGCGGCCAGGTTGGCTTTTCCTGATGGCTTCAGCTGCCTTTTCTCGGGCGGCGAGAATGTCTTCAGCAAATTTCTGGGACCGGGGCACGGGTGTCTCGATGTTCGGGGTAGAGGGTACCACTGGGTCCTGTCCGTAATTAAGGAAAACGAGGACTGATGGGTTGTCGCGGAGGGCGCGTTGTTATACGCGAATTCCAGTGGCGGAAGGGATTTCTCCCATGCCTGTGGGTCAGTCGAGGTAGTTCGAATGAGCTGCTCCATTGTTTGGTTGACTCGTTCGGTCTGCCCGTCGGTCTGTGGGTGGTAGGCGGAGGAAAACTGCAGTTTGGTGCCGAATTGGTCCCACAGGTGGCGCCAGAAATTCGATGTGAATTTCGGGTCTCGGTAACCTCGTAGATAACATGCCTAGGAGGGTGTAGGTGGTGATCGAGGCCAAGTGTCGGTTGACTAGGTACTAGTTTTGCTAGTAACTAGTTTGCTGCCTGTCCTCGGTACAAATTGTCCAGATGTGCTGTTATTAAATGTTGTCGTCTTGAAGGATCATGAAATATACTACTCTGGTTTTAGGAGATTTGAGTGAGTGCTCTAACTGCTCCTCTCTATGTGTATGGCCACCATGAATTAAGGCTTAATGTTTATAGCGTACAGCTCGTCAAAATGTAAAAATATGCTAAACATGTGGACAATTGTTTCCGCCAGTGTATGTTGCCAAGGTCTCTCGGGCGGATCCAACGGCTGTAGGAGTCTGGCTGCTCGCTGATGGGAGGACTTCATAATTTGGCAGGCGGTGCAGGAGGACACGTACTTGCGCACGTTGTCGGCCATGTTCGGCCAACGTCTGCAGAGTTTTGTCGACGCCGAAATGCCCGGAGGTCGGGTTGTCGTGGGATTCCTGTATTAGCAAGGTATGAAGTAAATCGTAGCCGGGCACCCAGATGTGAGAAGTATTGCGCTTATTAAAATAGTGTCAGGTGGCGGTGGTATGCTGTTGATGAATAGCAGAGCGGAAGATAGGATCGATTCTGTAGCCGTGGGTAAATAGTCCGGTAACTAATGGGTTGGTCTGGGCCACTAGTATGGCGGCTGTATGGGCAGTGGGTCGGGTCAGGGCATCGGCAATATTGTTGGCACCCCGTTCGTAGGTGATGGTATAATGGAAATTCGACTCGAGGAAATCGAGCCATCGGATCTGTCGCGGGTTGAGATTCAGTTGGGCTCGCAGGTACTGTAAGGATTTGTGGTCAGTTCGCACCGTTACGTCAGCGCCTGTCAGGTAGCACCGCCAGGTCTTGAAAGCGTGGACGATCGCCAACATTTCCTTGTCGTGTACGGTATAATTTTTCTCCGCGCCCTGCAGCTTCCGTGATTCGTAGGCGACTGGCTGTAACCTGTCGCCGAAGACCTGTAGGAGAACTGCACCGATGGCGATGTCGCTGGCGTCGGTGATGACTTTGTATGGACGGTCAGGATCGGAGATGCGAAGGACGGGTGGCGACGTGAGGGCGATTTCCAGTTGGTCAAATGCAGCTTGCTGCTTCTCTCCCCACCAGAAACAATCGTGATCCTTCAGTCAGTCGGTTAGCGGTGCAGAGAACCCAGCCATATTTGGTATAAAGCGGCGGACGTAGTTGACGAAACCCAAAAAACTCTGTAATTCCTTGAGGTTGGTTGGCGGCTTCCATTCCTGTATGGTCTTGATTTTCTTGGGGTCGATTTTCACTTCTTCGGTGGAGACGACGTGGCCCAAAAACTCCAACTCCTACTTAAGAAAGTCGCACTTAGACCCTTTCGTGATGAGGCGATTCTTGTGCAGCAGTGTGAAGACTGCATCAAGATCCTTTAAGTGCTGCTCCGTGGGGCGGCTGTAGATTAGGATGTCGTCGAGGTAGATAATTATGCATTTATTCAAGAGTTCCTTGAAAACGTCGTTCATGGTCATCTGGAATGTTGAGGGCGCGTTTGTGAGGCCAAAGGGCATCACCAGGTATTCGTAACTGCCGTAGCGGGTTCGGAAGGCGGTCTTGTGACAATCTTCGGTGGCGACGCGAATTTGATGGTAACCTCACAAATCGATTTTCGAGAAGAACTTGGCTTCGCGAAGTTGGTCGAGGAGATCGTCGGCTCGCGGGATCAGGTAACGCGACTTGATTGTGATCCTGTTGAGGGCGCGGTACTCGATGCACATGCGGAATCCTCCATCCTTCTTCGAGGTGAACAGTATCGGGGCGGCGTATGGGGAGGTGCTGGGCCGGATAAAACCTTTTGTCATAAGGTAATCCAGCTGCTGCTGCAATTCTTCTAGTTCCGGTTGGCTGAGCCGAAATTGTCGCTGCACGGTCGGTTGGGCGCCTGGTTCCAGCTCGATGCGGTGGTCTTCAGGTCTGCTCGGTGGAAGTCCCACGGGTAGGTCGTCCGGGAAAATCTCGGGGTACTTTCGAATCAGGTCTGCTAAATCCGGAGGAACGGCATCGCATAGCTTCGCGATATCTTCGGCTGTTGTCGTCGACGTCACCTCGCAAAGATCGAAGGCGTACGCTGCAGCACCCGCATTTATCGCGTGCTTGAAAGTGATCGCATGGACTTGGGTGCTTCGCATGCGAGGCCCCGTCCATTTTGGGAGTTCGCGACGAATCCCTTCGAGTTTGATGCTGCAGCCGCCTGTCGTCCAGTCAATCTTCGGGTTGTACTGTCGTAGCCAATCCCATCCCAGTAGGACGTCGCATCCGTCGAGTGTAGTCACCAGCAGCCCCATCCGAAATTTTACATACTCTCCGCAGTGGAAACTGACGTTCTCCACGCGTTCCCGTATAGCCAGCGGTGTTCCGTCTACTAGGCGGGCGTCAATTTCGGGTAGACACTTAAGTAAAGGGATACCCAATTTTTTAGCCCTGTCCAGCTGTATGAGACTGTGACTTGCGCCTCCATCCACGAATATTTTCAGCAACACCCCGTTGACTTTACCCTCCACCAACACAGGGTGATCAGCAGTTTCGTCCCCCTTATTCGTCCGGGTCCGGTCGATTGCAGCAATCGGGATCACGACCCGGTGGGGACTGTGTGGTTCGGGCGAAGAAGCCTGCCCGTCAGTAAGGGGCCCGGTACTTACTGACGCAACTCATTTCCCGGTCGCTCCTCCGGCTTCTTCCCCATGGAATTCTGAGTGGCTATGACTTCGGGACAGTTGCGTCAGATGTGACCCGGTTGACCACAGTGGTAGCATAGCCCCGTATTTCGCGGAGCAATTGCGTAGATATCCATTGCGTCCATCCCTTTTATCGTGGCGCGCTGGTACTGTTCTCGAGGGCGACCTCCATTGTAGAAGTTCGGCCTCGGCTTCGTGAGCGAATCAGCGGCTTCGGCGAGTTGGATGAAGTATGGTAACCACTTCGCAGGCCGTTGCAGTTTTATCTGGTACTGTATTTCAGGCTTCAGCGTGCCCATGTACCTGTCGACCTTCTCCAACTCGTGCATGTAGCCACATCGATCCACCAACGTCAAGAATGACGCGGTGTATTCGAACACAGACCCCAGCTGCTTCCACATGCATAGAGTTTCGCACATTTTTTCTGAGTCAGGAGCGTGCTCAAACCGCTTGCGAAGTTCTGCGCACCACGTTGCCCACGTGCGAATATGGGTTGCACCAAACAGCAAATCTGCCTCGCCTTCGTCGCCGAATTCTTTGGACCACTCGTGCTATCCTTCTGTGAGAGTTGCCGCGGAGTCGACGATGACCTTCCACCACTGTAGGGCGGCCCCTTGCAACAGTGCCAACGCATGGCTGATCCGCTTCTGATCGTCTCGGATGCCCGCCTCGTTGAAATAGATATTCATGGCGAATATCCAGTGCCGCACCGTCACGCCTTTATTAGCTGGGTCGAAAGGAGCGGGTTGCTGATATCTCACACCGCCACTTGTCGAGCGCGGGGCTGTTGCCGCTAGTCGCGCCAGCTCCACTGGTGTCGGTTGCTGCTCACCCGCCTCGCTTCGTGCATCGTCGCCCGGCTCCTCTGAACGCCTTTCCTGCGCCTGGCAAAGTCGTTGGTTCTCGTCGCGGAGGTTGTTGACGACGCTTGTCAAATTGTTTAACTGCTCCATTAATGCTTGCAGGTCCACGGTTTCCCGGGCAGAGTTCGCAGCAGTCGAGGTCGTTTGTTCCTCAACCGTCGAGTTTACCGGGGCCATGGCGGTCAGGACGGGGCAGAAGCTAGCGCACACGCTATAATTGTTGACGTAAAAATATTTACGATCGAAGACAACTGCGGTGCAGCCGTGCCAATCCCCTCTGACCACCCTTAACTTAATTAACGAAAAAACGGAAGGTTCCTGGAAAGTTCGGGCTCTGATACCA